AACAGTCTTAAACTTCTGTGTGCTTTGTACCATCCATTTGCTTTCAAAACTTTTCACCCAGACCACATCAAATTATCAGAAAAATCACTGATGTTTTTTCTCTGTGTAAATATACTCACAGGAAAGAGAAAACATTTATTTAAGCTGAGAAATATCAAGAAACTTGTCCCAGATCAGAGAGATAATTCATAACTGATACCCAAACCCAAGCCAGATTCCAGTCCAGAGCCCATTTGATGAAACTAGTACACACTGTTGACCTTTGTCCTTTGCCTTTTTAATCCAAAGTTGAAAACCCTACAAATTCACCCAAAAAGTTTGTTGTGATTGGTAATATGTTAATACTTACTAATCAACGCTAGAAATTTTTCTTAATCTCAACCTAAATAATAAACATAATGTCTTTTAATCATTTTTCAGTGTCAGAATTAAATGCAATTATTTATTCTCTTTTCTGTTCACCAAGGCAATTCAATTATTGATTCAGAGTTATTGGTTCAGATTCAGTGAAAAGCAAATGTATAATTTATTCAAATGTTCTTTCAAGCTTCAGAATTTCCTCTAAAAAGGAATGATTAGGACTTTGAGAGGAAAATGAAGTGTAAGAATATCTCTCATTTTATCTCACTCAAACTAATTTTGTAATGTTCCCTTCTATATGTTGCAATGATGTTAGGAATGTCCAGAAAGTAGAATTATTACATTTATAAGGAAATTTAAAGACTTTGGAATGAACATCCTTTTATTGGAATGCTGGTGCTTCTGATCCTCTAGGGACATGTGCCTTTGGCTTTTCTAGGTTGATAGCCTCCCCTCCCCCACCCACCCAAGTAAAACATGTCAGTTTTTATTTGGAGCGCTGAATGAAGTTTCAGTGCACTTCAAATCTTAAAAATAGGAACAATTTTAGAGGGTAGATGGGAAATTGGCATGTGTTTGAGAATATGACAAGAACAACCTTGAAAAGTATTATCTGTATTTCTACTACAGAAAAAAAGCTGACCTGTCACCAGGACATTTTATCACTGGGTCATACAGAGCCTTCTATTAAAAGCCAACAGTTTATTAAAGTTACATTTAAAGTTACAGGCATTCATGTTGTCCACAAATTTTCCGGAGATATCCATTATTTCTAGTATTAGCTAAGCCAATATTTGCTATCTTGTTAAATACCATGCACACTCCCAGATGCTAATTTTTGGTCATTTGACCATTCAGTGGGTAAGGAGGTAGGTATTCGCCTCTAAAAATGAAAAACAAGAGAATAACACATTGGTAAACCAGTCAAAAAAAAAATCAACCCAACTTTACTAGTGTAGATCTCTCTAAATGTGTTAATGCATACTTGATTCTGCAAATCCACTCAGTAGTAATTGCCAATGTCACCTTTGCCTTCGCCCAGTATTGACTTGGCTGTTTAGAACTCTGTAGAAATAAACATTAACTTGTAGGGATCCCTGGGTGGCGCAGCGGTTTGGCGCCTGTCTTTGGCCCAGGGCGCGATCCTGGAGACCCCGGATCGAATCCCACGTCGGGCTCCCGGTGCATGGAGCCTGCTTCTCCCTCTGCCTGTGTCTCTGCCTCTCTCTCTCTCTCTCTCTCTCTGTGTGACTATCATAAATAAATAAAAAAAAAAAATTAAAAAAAAAAAAAATAAAAAAAAAAACATTAACTTGTAGAAAACTCATAGCAATGCAAATAATTTTGCATACAGACATGTACATAAATTCCATTCAGTGAAATTTCAAGTGAACACCTTGAACAAGAGGATCCATTTCCCAGATGGCTTTTCCAGTCTTATGTCTGGTGCTTTGGCATGGATGGCTGGAAGACTGGACTCAGCTGGTGCTGTTGACCAGCAAACCTACATGTGGGCTCTTAGGTGGTTTGGGATTCTCAGAGCTTCACAGCTGTGTCTCAGGAGAAATCATCTGGAGACCAAGTATTCCAAAGGACCAAAGCAGAAGCTGCAAGTCTCATTTTGACCACCGCAGAATTTATACATCATCACTCCCACCATATTTTATTGGTTACAAGAAAATCAGCTGAGATTCAAGTGGAAAGGAATTCAATCCCATTTCTTGATGGGAGGAATGTTACATAACGACCATCTTTTAAAATTGCCAATCCTTTTTGGAATCCTTGAATGTGTTTGACATGTTAAAATATAGTTTTCTTCCAGGGCACCTGGATGGCTCAGTGGTTGAGCTTCTGCCTTCAGTTCAGGTCATGATCCTGGGATCCAGGGGTCGAGCCCTACATCAGGCTCCCCACAGGGAGCCTGCTTCTCCCCCTGGCTGTGCCTCTGCCCTATGTCTCTATGTCTATGTCTCTATGTCTCTCATGAATAAATAAATAAAATCTTTAAAATATATATATATATATATGGTTTTCTTCCAAAATGGTAGTTAAGAATGCCCCAAATCAGCCAAATATGCACTTTTACTATCCAGTATCATGTCCAAAAATATTTGGCAAATAAGATATTTTCCCAATTCAAGAAATCTAAATCTTATTTCTGAGTTTATGTATCATACTTTGCTAAATATTTTATCTTATGGCAACCAGGAATTGTACTACATATAGTAAGTAGATATGGTCAGCACCAATATCTGAACAATATATTTCTACAAGTTTTGCTAACTGGCATCTCATTTGATTTCAATAAATCCATGAGGCTCAAGAAAAATTTCTTTAGGTGCCAAAGATTCGTGATGAATAAACCATGATTGTTAATTAGTTTTTAATAACTCTGACATAGTTTCTAGTCATATTTGTTGTCCAACTCTATAATTCTTTTACAATTTTTCCAGTCTAAATGATATTGAATCAACAACATATTTTTCCAACTCAAAGATTATACTTAATCCAGTTGTAAGTAAAATTAAACAACACAAAAAATCCTCCACAAAAATTTTCCTGTCATTCATACCTGATCTAACTAAAAGTGTTGACAACTTACATCAGTGCTTTGATCAAGTTGAATCACAAAATTTATATGAGACTATAATTATGTTCTGCAATAATACAGATTTGATGAGACATTATGGTATACAGAACTTCCTTGATTTATAATGGGGTTACATCCAGATAAACCCATCACAAGTTGAACATATAGTAAGTTGAAAATGCATTTAATACACCTAACCTGAAGCATTTGGGTGGCTCAGTCAGTTAAGCGTCTGCATTTGGCTCAGCTCATGATCCCAGGGCCCTGAGATCGCCCAGCGTGTCACACTCCCTGCTCAGCGGGGAGTTTACTTGTCCCTTTCCCTCTACCCCTCTCCCATGATCATGCTTTCTTTCTCTCAAATAAATAAATAAAATCTTTAAAAAAAAAAAAAACCTAACCTACCAAGCTTCATAGCTTAGCCTAGTCTACCTTTTTTTTTTTTGTAAGATTTTATTTATTTATTCATGAGAGAGGCAGAGACACAGGCAGAGGGAGAAGCAGGCTCCATGCAGGGAGCCTAATGTGGTACTTGATTCCAGGTCTCCAGGATCATGCCCTGGGCTGAAAGTGGCCCTAAACCGCTGAGCTACCAGGGCTGCCCAGCCTAGTCTACCTTGAATGTGCTTAGAACTTTAGCATAAAGTTGGGCAAAATCATCCAATACAAAGCCTATTTTAAAATAAGGTGTTGAATATCTCAGATGGTTTATTGAATACTATACTGAAAATGAAAACCGAATGGCTGTATGGGTACAGGCTGGTTTTAAGTGCATGGGTTGTTTACCCTAGTGATCGCATGGCTGGTGGGGGGCTAGCATCACAAGAGAGCAGCCTGACTGGATGTGGGTAAGTCAATTCCCCTTTCTAAGAGCCCACCACCTCAACCCATGGGGACAGGTGACCCTGGTAGAGTGTGGCCACAGTCACGGATCAGGAGCAGAAATGGAGAAGCCAAATGACCCAGAGCACCAAGGAGTGATAGAGAGTAGGTGACAGAGAACCTGTCTTAGGGAAGCAGTGAGGAAATGGGAGACAGGATCATACCTGAGCCCAGGCTCCAAACCCCCAGTGCATGCTTCTTGTCCCATCTGACTTCATGTTCAAAACACAATTTCATGAAGATAAAATTAGGAATTTCAAGATAGAGACCACAGAGCATGAAATTTCCAGCCTGGGATCCTTCTGAATGGAGGTCTCTGAACAATTACATTGGTTACACATCCATGAAGCCAGCCCTGTAGTTGCTAGGGAGCAAAATGAGCAAAGAACCCATTCCTGGTTAGCAACCCCCCTCTTACACAGCCAGTCCTTACACAGGCAGTCATGATAATTACAGGGTTTCTTGAAGGACACAGAATATCTGACACTCTCTCATAGTCTATGCTTTTTCTTTCTTTTATGGTCATGACCCACATGTCATGTCTCAGTGCTTGTCTCTTTCAAGGCTTGTCCTCCTGAGATGGGAAGGGTCAGGAAGGCAACCTGGGATAGTGCCAAGAATATTCCAACAGTCAGACAACCCTGGCTGTCCCATCTAACATTCTCTACCTTGGGTACATCTCTTCATCTCTCTGGGCCTCTGCCTCCTTATTATGAAATTCATCATGTTATAATATTGGCCTTCTTCTTATTAATTATTAATGGAAGGGTTAGACTAGGTAACCTCTAACATTCCCTCCAGTTCTGTTTCTGGAAGGAGACAACACAAATTGGTGTTTGGCAAAAGGCGTTTGGCCTTTTGACTGTTTTGTCTTCATTTTTATTGGACTTGTTATAATCAATATACTTGGATTCATCAAAGCCATATCTGGGCTGTTTGGTGTGATGCTGTTGCCACATAAAAGCCAAAAGAAAGGAGACATGAGTAATGTGGATGTGTGTAGGCAAAGGAGGCCCTCATTTCCTTAAGGCCTAGCAGCAGATGGGTTAATTCCATGACCCTAGATTTTAGAATAGCAATAATTAGTACCTGAGACAAGCTCTTTTATCTAAGATCCTCAAAGGGCTTTGTGGTCATTAACCCATTAATTCATCTGCCTCAAGCCATCAAGGTCACAAAGAATCTCCTTAGAAGACAAGTATGCCAGAAATGGAAATATCACCACAGTGAGGAGTGGCCATGAGTGGTAACTAACTGGAAGGGAGGAGGTGGGGAAGGGGTCACCAGAACAGTTCTCTGGAGGAATTAAATGGAAAATCCTCTACTGTTCTACAGACAGCAATTTAACCACTCATTAGGCTCTTTGAGCAAATTCTCATGGATGTCACATTTCATCACCTAGAAAAACTCTTCACCCTTAATGTAAACTTTAGATTAGCTTTTACAGTTTCCAACAAACCACAATTATGCCTAAAGCAAGTAAAGGAGAGGACTCTCCTCCCTAAAATATTCTTCTCTCAAAGGGGAAAGAAATGGCTCTTTAAAGTTGAGGAGTCTCTAAAGATAGAACACCACTTCAGAATGAATTCATCTGGGGTTTGTTAAGGTCCTGACTTATTTGCAGGTGGTTCCCATCAAAAAGCATCTGTTGGAAAACCACACTGCTAAAACATACCTTCGCAAGACCTGGAATTCTATCATTAGACTCCTTCCTTCAGCTGAGCAGCCCACCCATCACCTGGAAGGTTCTCCCCTCAGGGTCAGGTGCTATGAGGGAATAAAATGTGGAACCTGCCCCCCTCAAACAGCTTTAAATCTCATCAAGGAGGTGAGGCTAATACAAATAAAATAAATTAATAAATTTATTGCTTGTTACTATTTTACTGTTTTCTTTACTAAAAATTGATGCAAAAAATGGGCAGAAAATATAGCTTCCAGAGTTGTGAACAGCACAGACCCAAGATGCTGTGGCGTTGGTGGTAGGAAGTAATCGGTGAGGGCTCCAGAGATCAGGGAAGGCAGGAAAGCTCACAGAGTAGGTAAGAGCTAAATCTTAGAGGTAGGGAAAGTATTAGGTCAGAAAACAGGATCAGTGGGAATAAGCAAAAGGCAATTCAGACCATGGACAACATCTAAGAGAAGGCAAGCAGCCGGGAGCTTGTTTCTTTATGATGCAGTGGGAAAGCCAACCTGGATAAACCATAGAGCCAGGAGGCCTGAAAGAAATACATTGGATGAGAAAGATAGGGTCAGACCACACAGGTGACTTGAAACCAGACAACAGGTACTGATTTGGGGTCTCTGTAAGTCCTCTGTCAAAATGCAAATATCCAGGGAAAGAACCAAGAGTAAATTGGGGAAGTAGGGGTGCAGTCAGTACAGGCTGAACACTACTCTGAGCTTCATTACACACTGTCACAGGAGGAAAGGAATTTTTATACCGGTATCAGCTGGTAAATTCAACTGTGAGTTCTATCTTGGGCCCTGGGATGGGGACCCCAATGGAATGAAACCCAGAACAAGTGCATTCTGATGGGGATGAGGAGAGGAAGGATAAAGGGAAATTACACCAAAATCTTTGGCATAACCAGGAAGAGCTGGTCCATGTAGATGCCCACACCTGATGGACAGCCAAAGCCCAAGGAAAGACTTCTAATAGGAAGAGAGAGTAGTAGAGAAGACAAATGTCCCCTCTTACACAATTTTTCCAACCACCAGTCCTTTAAATGCACATGGGCCTTCTTTATGGCCCAGTAAAACTCATTCCTTTGTTGAACAGATGCTCTTTTGGCTCTCACAATCAAAATCAAGCTGTGGGGAAGACTCCAGAGATGGCTCTCTAGGGAGTAGGTCAGAAGAAGAATTGAAGTGTCCTCACGTAACAGCCAATGTGAGGGCTTCTTGAGGCTTCCTAAACACAGTGGAGCATACGGAGAGGAGACAGTCTTTCCTAAAGTCACCTTCAGGAACCCCCAAGACCAAGGTGCCTCTGGTTAGCATTAGACTAAAAAATAATTATTCTCACCAAAGAAATCTCTGTAGAAAAGTTGCTGTAAAACTGGAATAGGTGTGTCTTTCTGACCTTCCGGTTCTTTTTATAGGCACTGCAGGAACTGAGTGAGGGCCTCCACTCCTTCCGCCCATTTGGGGAGAGATTAAAGAAGCTGAGATTGTCTCCTTCTTACTCATTGGCAGTTACAACCTCTCAGGCACTACAGCCTCAACTTCCAGTGTGGACACAGAGAAGGTAAGTCGGAATTCAGGGCCCATGCCCTTAGCTATAAACCCGAATTGCTCCAGCCAGCTGGTCTGGGAATAAATGAAGAGGAATCCAGGTAGGAGTATTCAACTGCAAAGTACTTTTTTTCCTAATGAATATGTGGGATTTTTTCCTAGGCAACCTCAGTAAAGACATAGATTTTGGGGCTCGACTGTTGAAAAAGTTATCTGAAGGCAGGCCATTTTGTATGATTCTTTGATGACCAAATAGTAGATATTTAGCAAGAACGTGTTGTGTTGTGTTGACTTAAATTAAAAGAAGGAACAGTCATTAGAACTATGAGGAAAAATTACCTGCCTATCTCCTTCAGGCAGTGCAGTAGTGTTTTCAATGATCCAAAGATCCATTAATGTTGACAACCTTTGTTCTGGAGCCTGATATAGCTGGAATCTCGTCAACCATGCAAACGTGGTCACACACCCCATTTTATGAAAAAGGTTTTGTCTTAGTTTTCGAAAAGCCTTGATGCAAACTGTGACACGAAAATGGATGAAGTATCTGGAAGCTCCAAGTGAAGAGTTTTCTGCTTTTCCCAGCAAGATGGAGCTAAGAGAGTTTTAAGGGTTTGATAGTTTGGGGCAATTTCAAAGTTGGGAGTGAAAGACATTATAGTGGCCAAATAGGACTACCTAACAGGCATTCTTGTGTGTAGATATAGTCAGGAGTTTGTCTCATCTTTCTCCTGCAGGGAAACAGAAATCCATTCTCGTGAGGTCCACCTACAAGTCACCATGTATGAGGACTGCATCAAGTCCACTGAGGACTATTATTTTGTCTGTGACAATGAGGGAGCATGGAGCATTGTTCTCGAGTCCCTGGCAATAATCGGCATAGTGGTTACAATCATACTACTCTTGGCATATCTCTTCCTCCTGCGAAGAGTTCAAGACTGCAGCCTGTGGAATACCCTCCCTACTCAGTTCCTCTTCCTCTTGGGTGTGCTGGGACTCTTTAGCCTTGCATTTGCCTTCATCGCTCAATTCAATCAGCAAACTGCCCCCGTACGCTACTTCCTCTTTGGGGTTCTCTTTGCTCTCTGTTTCTCATGCCTCTTGGCTCATGCCTCCAACCTGGTGAAGCTGGTCCGGGGTAGAGTCTCCTTCTCTTGGACGACAATTCTGTGCATTGCTATTGGTGTCAGCTTGTTGCAGGTAATCATTGCCATCGAGTACGTGACTCTCATGATGACCAGAGGTATGATGTTTATGCATATGACACCCTGTCAGCTCAATGTGGACTTTGTTGTACTCCTGGTCTATGTCCTCTTCCTGATGGCCCTCACATTCTTCGTCTCCAAAGCCACTTTCTGTGGCCCTTGTGAGAACTGGAAACAACATGGAAGGCTCATCTTTGTCACTGTACTCATCTCCATCATCATCTGGGTAGTGTGGATCTCCATGCTCCTGAGAGGCAACCCACAGCTCCAGCGGCAGCCCCAGTGGGATGACCCTGTCATCTGTATTGCCCTGGTCACCAACGCATGGGTCTTCTTGCTGCTGTACATCATACCTGAGCTCTGCATTCTCTACAGATCCAGCAGACAAAACTGCCCCTTACCAGGCAATGCCTGCCCAGCCCCAGCCTACCAATGCAGCTTCAGAGTGGAGAACCAAGAACTCTCACGAGGTACTTTCCCAGGGGATTTTGGGAGCAGGGAGGCTCTCCTATGGGAGAAACAGGAGAGAAATCGAGAAACAGGATGAACCAAGAGGGAACAGTAAAGAAATGGTCACAATTTTGATGGGTGACTTAAGAGTTCCAGGATGGAGATAAAGACAGCCAGAATCAATGTTAAACTTTTATGAAAAATCAGTTCTTCCAAAATACAGAGATTTATGGGGAAGAGACCAAGACAGAAATTAATCAAAGGGCCTAAATAAAGAGGGTGTGGCTCTGAGTGCTCACGCTGGGTAAAGAAAGGCACTCACTATAAAGTGATTTAACCAGCCCCAAATTAGGCTTGGACCACGCAATTGCATGACATATGATGCTAAGTCCAGATGTTTGGGCCATCAAGTGCAAAAGTCAATCTTGGCAACAGCAATTGACATTTTTTTAAATTTTAAGTCTTGAAGTTAATTTGCCCAAACATCATAATAAACTGATTCATAGGACTCATCACCTCATTAACGTCACAAAGCCCCATAACTTCTGGATTTCTACTTTTCAAACCATTTATTGCTTGAAAGCCTTCAAGGTTTACAAAAGGTGAAGAGCCACAATTCTAATAAAGGCTCAGATGTGTAATCATTAATAGAAATAAAGCAACTTGCTTAGGTAACATTTTCATAAAAATTTCTGGTCAGATTTTTATCATGATGTAAGACCAAGCCATCTGACTATACTTTGTTAATGAATAAAATACATTAACCATGACAACAAAAATGCTTGGACCCTAACAACCTGTGAAAAATAGTGACTAATTCTGGTTATCTAGAAATATGTCAAAACTCATTCATTCCTTTCTAAAACATCTGGCCTATTGTTCATAACCCGATATCAAAATTTTACATCAATTTTTGTGTCTTAATAGGCATCCGATTCCTCACAATTTATTTATAATGTGTAAAAATTATGTTATTTTATATACTGTATAGCACACATAATGTTCACCAGGCTCAAAAAAATTAATAGAAGCCTTCCCTTTAAGCGTATACACTTTTTTTGAGCTGTAATCTCTGGCTAATTACACATTCAAATTAAATGCTGCTCAGATAGATGCACCCATTAATTCTTTCAGTGCAGTTGACAGAGTCGGAAATTGAGGCTATACATCCTTCCTAGAACAGTTTCTCTTTTCCTGTTGCTGGTGCATCATCAGATCACTAAGGTTTGTGGCAGAATTGCAGAGTCAATCCCTGAAACTACTTCTCATGGTTCTCACCAGAAGTTAGGATAAAACTTCTTGTGTTTGTGTTATGGTCGTGGTATGTTTCCAGTACACAAAAGTCAGAGGGAAAGAGAGAGAGGAGTTTTTAGAGTTTTATGATACTTCAAACATACTGGGATTTGTAATGATTGATATTCTATATCCGAAGACACAAGTGTTCCAAGTGTTTTCAAGAGTGTCTTGGAGGAAGAGTTAAGGCTTGCAAAAGCACATTTCCTGGTCCTATCCTTGTTACTTGAGTATGGTTAGAAAATCCATTTCTGAGCAGGAAATGGCCTTCCAGTGACAGTCATTGTCGATGTAGTTTGGTGTTTTTTAAAAAAATAAAAAATATATCAGTAAAGTAGTAAAAAAGATACAGATTGCTCTTCAAATTGGGCAGAATAACCAGAAACTTAAACTTGGCCAACAGAATCAGAATTTAGGTCACCTGGGAAAGATACAAATGTCAAAAATAAGAAGAGCGATGAAAACTCAGTACAAAATACAGGATGACACCAAGCTCAGAAAAAAATACAATGCAAGATAGATAAGAGCCAGACAAGCAGAGTGTGATAACAGGAACCTGAAAAACCCCATGTACCATAGGTCACAAACTGGAGGGAGGAAAGCGGCTTACCACTGTCTTTGTTTTCATTGGCTCTGAAAACAGTCCTAGTGCCATGTAAGCAGACATGTGGTCAGCAAGATCCATC